CCAAAAAAATAAAAAGTCCCCGAAAAAACAACACATGCACAGACGCACAATAAAGATACAGCACGTTCCTCAATAATGCACTGAGAAATTCTAGGCGGTTGGGATGTGGGACACGTAATGTGTCAGGGCTAGACCTATGTCGGCCGTTATTAAGGACAGGGTGTTGTTAAACCCCGGTACTGAGCACAGTCATTCAGTCTTTCATTTCAAGTGTTTATACAGCTATAAGAAAGTAGCATGTGAAGTCACGAGTCACTGATGCTAAAGTCCAAGACGAGTTGCAAGTCTCTTTAATCTTCGTCAAGTCGAGTCTAAAGTAATTTCAAGTCTACACCTTTGAAGTCAACCATTGATCAAAAGCAACATACTAATAATTAATAATTTCCTAAAAATGTCTTATTCAAATATGAATAAAAATGTACCCATTTGCCTTAAACTACATAGCTATGTCCTTTTTTTATTGTCAAAATTAAAAAATATATACTTCGTTACATTGACCATTGAACACAGTAATATACTATTATATTAAGATTCTGAAAAAGCCTTCAAATATAAATGTTTCTCAAAATTTAATAAAAACTTCCAACTTTTAAAGTCTGTTTATGTGCAGTAGTTAAAAGTGACCTAAATAACAACTTTTGCTCAGTAGAAATAGTTTTTGTCTTCGTGGAGTCTGATACATAAGGCAGGAACACGTTTGACATTTTAATATATTTTAAAAAAGTAAAAGTCTACGTAAACATTTCTGGAAATCTAAAGCTCTTATAGTCCTTGAATATAATATTTTTTAATACCATGTGCCAACCCTTATCCATTGTTGCACCAATTCACAATGCCAGATATGTTATGACCTTTGTGGTTATTTATTTTATTCTTTAAATGTAACTCAATGGCCTGACTTCACAGCTCATGTAAATGTGGGCAGAGATCGCCGGCTCCCACGACAGACAAAAAATTTTAAAAAATAGCTGTCCAAGGCAATGAATTGTTGTGCAGATGTGTGCACAACAGATGTGTGTGCAGCTGTGTTTTTAAGAAAAAAATTCACAGACTGCTTCAAAACCACTGAGGCCTTTTAATGGTAGTAGAAAATAGCATTTTATTATCCACTGGACAGATATCCTTTTAAGCTTTTAAGGGATTTTAACAATGGGAATGAGGCACACAAGTGCACTAAACAAGCATGAAGTGTTCACCTTAAAGAGACACACATTTGATCACAATCTCCGAGCCTTGTTCCATACAGTTCTAGGATTCTGGGATGTAGTGCTTTTGTACAGTGTGCAATGACCGGAGTCAAGACTGCAGTGCAAGGGTAAACACTTTAATACTGCATTTGGCATCATGTAACGTAATCTCCATCAGACACAATCCATTCATGCCTCCACTAGACTCTTTGAATAAGCTGTAAGGCGTTAGAATGACTGCACTTCAGTGTCTCTTGACCCTAAGCATTCATTCACAGTGAAAAACAAATTTCAACGATATAAACGTGATCATTAAGCAGAACAAAAAAGATCAAATCCTCTGTGAGCCTTAAACATCGATAGCCTCCCAGCCTCCGAGCGAGAGTAGTGCGATACTCGCGCTCTGAGTGAAGCCTCCCTGATGGACGACAGCAGTAAACCATTAAAAGAACGAACACAGACTTCACTTATCCCGTAAATAAACACTTACACATCACTTTTTCAAAACAGGACAACAACATTACATCTTGCTAAAAAAGCCACAGGGGTGAACACGGACTACTCTGAATAACGGACGATTCACACGTACATGGGCGTAAAAGCTACTGTAAATGTCATATTTATTTCCACTGTGACCGGAACAAGGAATGCAGGTCAGTTGGTGCTGTTGTCAGTGTTTAAATACTGTAGGTCCCACGGCTTTATTTGAGCTACAGCACAAAGAGTGAGCATTTTAAATCAGTGATTTACTGAGCCACATCGGCCTTGACCCATGGACGATTCCTACTTCGCAGCCTCACGAGTCGCCTATACAAGATGAGCTACATGTGTACAAAATGAACACAAAGTTGAACAGGGCAACGGTGTGAACCTGTATGTTCCGCAGTTGTCCTCAGACCCGCTTCATGGCAAACTTTGCACCTGTATAAAAGCCCCATATGATTTCAGGTTTTTAGCTCCTAAAATCTAAAGGCTATCTGCGGCGCGTAAAGCCACGCCCATGGTTGAGCATTCATTAGACATGTACGTGTGAATTCCCCGTTAGTGACTAAGACCAACCAACTACATCACCATCAAGTTGCTGAGTCGGGCACATAATGTTAGATGTTGAACGTGTAAAAAGATAGATGAAGCCTTAAAAAAACAAAAAAACATTTCATTTCCCCCTTGTGGTGGTTTATAAAAATTGCACGGCAACAGATCACATACGGCCTGTGTGTCTTCACAAAAGATGGTTGCACAATAACTACCATTGACCTATGACCTTTTCAATAAACATTTTTCATTTATTAAATAATGTAATAAATAGTGATATAAAATCTCTGCTAGAACTAATGACTATTTGGATGAACCGATATAATAACAACAACAACCATCAACATTTTTATCGCTCCAATAATCGACCTTAGACGTCACATGCTTCATCTCACCGCCGTTAAACAATGTCATATTTCTGATGAAACTCATAGCAATGAACCAAACGCTTTACATCTCTGCAAGTGTGTAAGGATGATTGGACGTGATGACGCTCTAACAATACTAATGACTTAGTGTGTGTGTGTGTGTGTGTGTGTGTGTGTGCATTTCTGACATATCTATACTTGTGAGGGACAGTTTTGTAAAATACTGTTGTTTGGATATTTTGCAGCTCCCCACTGAGAGGGAGCGTCTTTTCTAGATTAAGCTGTTAGGATTAAATTTAGGCTCAGGTTAGCATCAGGTTAAGAAGTGTTGAGTTGGTCATATATCAATGGCAGTTTGTGACGGGGATGTATGACGTCTAAAACACGAAAGCAACCGGCGTCTGTTTTGTGTGCTTGTGTTCTTTTTTTGTTGCCTACTCGGGACCCCTTGTGGCAGTGTTGGCAGTTGTATTGGTCCTGTAGTCCTAGTTAGGCCAAAACCTGGGTCCAAATGGCAGACAGATTTGTTTTTCCTGAACAGCCAGTAATGTGGGATTCTATGTGTGGGTGGTGAGTCATAGGTCATGAGGTCATTTTCAAGGTGTGTTCACCTGTGTCAGTGTGTGAAAGGGAGGTTGTGTGAGTCACATGGGTCACAGCATCCTGCCATTAGGGTCATGCTGTGGTCACTTTAATACAAGAGGTTTTTTTCCATCCATCAGTTGGATTCGAAGACGCCTCTTGGATAAAGAGGTGAAACATCTTCAAGAGACTAAGACAGTCCAGTTGCCCTCGACTTGCTCAGATAGAGTAGAAAGAGCCATGATATTGATTCACTGGAATCAATATCATTATTAATGTGCCCATAATTGGCGAGTCGGGCTGAATTTAATTTAGTTCTGCAATTTATCTGCACACTGTTCTAAATGGATATCCTGAAAAGCGTGTTGACCCACTGACTTATTGATCATTTAATCCAATAAGTGCAGAAAATGTGCTAAATCGTTGGTTTTTGCTTTGTCTATAAATGAACTCACTATTTGTTTTCACTTGAAAAGACGATAAGAAAGGACTAATTCACTAATCCAATCCAGTACTCGGTCTGAAAACCTTCTTAGTTTTGGTTAATAAATAAATGAGCCTCATTAGGTCACGTGACACAGTCGAATACTTTCATGCATTCGTAAATGTAATGCTTGAACTTCCACTTTTTTGGCAGTTATGAATTTAACGGCAGTTCTTACATTAATGGCTTCTGCTGCAGATGACGGTGATGGTGATGAAGATAATGAGGATGAGCGAAGCATCTGTGACGGTGAGCTGAGCGAATAAATGAACGGTGGCATGATTATCAATTACATCCAATTACGCACGGGGGAGGGGGGTGCGGTGGTGAGAGGGGATTATCATGAAGTTGTGAATCAGTGTATTCCATTGGGCGTAAAGGGTGACATCCGGTCCAGACTAATGTCCGCCTCGCAGTCCTCCAGGTCACATACAGAGTCGGTGGCATTGTCGTGGTTGTGCGACAACTGCGAGATGCGGTCGAAAGTCTCCTCGTGGTCAATACATTCCACCACATTAGGGATCATGTTGACGTACGCGTTGACGATCTCCTTGTGGATGAGCGTGTCCTGATTGTACGAGACCAGCTCGTTGCTGATGTTGACGGTTTCCACGGGCGTGCTGGAGCAGAGGTGACGGCAGCCCAGCAGGCTGGCGAAGGCCTTCCGGAATTCGGCGTTAAACGCGTAGATGATGGGGTTCAGGGACGAGTTTGTCCATCCGAACCACACGAACACGTTGAACGTGGTCTCGCTGACGCACGGCAGGCCCGCGTCCCGGTCCGATGCGGGCCTGTCGCAGAAAGGGACCATGCAGTTCAGGACGAAGAAAGGCAACCAGCAACACACAAACACCCCCATGATCACCGACAGAGTTTTGAACACTTTGGTTTCCCGTTTGATGGATGTTTTCAGCGTGTTGTGGTGTTGGCACTCGATTCTGTTGCTCCTGCAACTTTGCGCGTGTTCCGCCGCTCTCTCCAGAGACGCGATTCTCCTGATTTGTATTTGCGCAATACGGTAAATGCGGGTGTAAGTCACAATCATAATAGCCACGGGAATGTAGAAACTAACCAAAGAGGAAGAGATCGCATATTCTCTGCTCAGGCTGGAGTCACAGTTCTCCTCCATGTGTCCACGCGTGGAGGAGTTTTGCGCACCTGCCGCGTCATCATCGCCGGCTTTGTGCCAGTTCAGCTGCACCGGGATGAAGGAAATGAGCACGGACAGTGTCCAGGTGACACTGATCATGACAAAGGCGACACGCTGGGTCATCTTCCTCTCGTAGCGGAACGGGCTCGAGATGGCCCAGTATCTGTCCACGCTAATGACGCACAGGTTGAGTATTGAAGCGGTGGAGCACATAATGTCAAAGGCGACCCAGATGTTACAGAAAGTACCAAAGGGCCAGTAGCCCGCCACCTCCGCCACGGCTTTCCAAGGCATCACGAGCACGGCGACGAATAAGTCCGAAAGAGCCAGGGAGACCACAAAGATGTTGGTAACTTTGGTGCGCAGATGCCTGAAGCGCAGCACGGCTGAGCAGACCAGAATGTTCCCCAACAGCGTCCACAGGATCAGCAGGGACAGCAAGCAGCCGGTCACCGTGCGCGCCACCACCGTGTCCTTGTCGTCGTCGCTCTTCGCCTCAGTTTCCGTGCTGTTCCACATCGCCTCTGCCAGCCGTGCCGGCGCAGAGTCGACCCCCTGCACCGACGACAGGTACCTGGCTGGGTTCTCCATGTGTTAAAAAGTCCTCAAGTAAAAGTGCATTCCATGCGTCCGTTCCCCAGGACGGGCGCAATCATCATCCATTTACTGCACAGCCCCCGCGTAGTCGCTGCGCTGCCGGGCAGGTGTGAAGTGCGACGCAGAGGAGAGGAGAGAAAAGGAGAGCGCGTCAAAAGTGAGCCAAGCGACGAGCGCGCAGGTGCGCGGAGTGGCTGAGAGGCAGCGACGACGGCCAGTGGAGAGCGCATGGTGCTGCCTGGTTGTCTGCGCTCACTCCTGCTGTCCCTGCTCTGTCTGTGGTCTCTGTGCAGCAGCTCTAGTGTGAACAGTGGACAGGGGGAAAGGCTGTGCTGCTGGACACACTAACCCGAGCAGCAGCGCGTTCAGCACGAACGCGCACTCCATCACACCATCTCCGCTTTCTCTGCGCCTGCGCTCATGCACAATGGCGCACTGCTGTAGCAAGGAGTTAGTGTAAAGACACCAGCCGTTTGTGAATGGGTTCGGGGCTCTGTGTAAAAAAAAAAGGGTAGGGAAGTAAGGGAAAGAAACACGTCCCACTGTGGAGTGTGTTTGTCCTCCACATGGTGCGCACGACAAGACAAAACAGTGAAACACTTCACTCCACTGCAAAAATGTAAAATGATACTTGATTCAAGCATTAATGAAGAGACGAATAAGCGTCTGTCTGTCTGTCTATCCATTCATCTCTGTCATTTTTAAATATTGTTTTTTAATGTCAATATTTTCAATCCACTCCTCATCATCTGTTCACAGTTGCTTAAACAGAATATGAGTCACTTGCACATTGCCAAGCAGACAGGAGACCCACGCGTTTCGTGTTCTGTCGCGGTGTCTCTCAGCAGCAGCAGCAGCAGCAGCAGCAGCAGCAGCAGCAGCAGCATCCCCAGCTTCTGACCGTCACAGATATTTTTAGCTACATCTGGGTGGCTGTCACATCGCTGTGATACATAAAAAAATTACTCCACACCAAATTCTCTTGAATGGCGGCCCGAGGGTGTATTTCCAACAGCCATTCAGAATATATCCTCCACAGCCTCCGTTAATATTTAATCCATATGTGACAATTACTAGGTTCACGTAATTAACTTAGTAAAATCAACGCACAACAACTAACTAAACAACTAAACCTAAATAGAACTCTTTATAGAACTATTTTGACGACCAGGGCCGCCCCCCACTCCCGTTCTTTGGAAATAAAATGATTGTTTACACGAACAAAACGTCTTTGTGACAAAATAGCACACACAATAGTTACCAAAACAAATCTACACTTGTGAATTGAAAAATTAGTAAAATAAAAAAGGACTATTGAAAAATGCATTGTAGCACTTTAAAATTGCAAAAGAAAAGAAGAAAAAAACCTGATTGTGCCAACAAAATCAAACATTTTCTGACCATCACTATTACTCGTGTCACTATAAGAGAGATGTGTGCAGGACGGGAGGAAGGATGAGGTAACCATATATCCTGCCCAGCAGCAGCAGAAGAGACTCTACATAGCAAGGGGGAAGGAAAAAATGCAGCCCACACGACTCGACTAAATGGGTGGTTTAAAAAAACAATTTCCTGTTTACTGTGAGTAATGCACGTACATGCTTGCCCTTGTCTAAAAGTTTGGTTTCAACACTATACAACCAACATTACAATCCATAACCTTGTTTTTCACTGGCCTTCAGGTCATCTGTTCTTGACCAATGAAATGTTCTCTTACCTATCCTGTGGACACGGTAATCACTTGCATTGTTTGAGTCAAGTTCAATAGATTAATTGACTTCTTTTAAGTGTTGGGGTTTTTCATTATATTACATATTTAACAAATGCTTCATTCACTAATAATGTGGTAAATATCAATTGTGTATTGTGTAGAAAGAAAGAAAGAAACAAAGAAACAAAGAAAGAAAGAAAGAAAGAAAGAAAGAAAGAAAGAAAGAAAGAAAGAAAGAAAGAAAGAAAGAAAGAAAGAAAGAAAGAAAGAAAGAAAGAAAGAAAGATTTAATTTGTCCTGACGTTCTCTTAAAATAAGATGTGTATTTGACTCCCTCTTGTGGTTGATATTTTAATTACTCATTGCATTTATTAAGGGCTTTTCTTTCCTATCTTTATTCACTGTTTATTTTAGTATTCACATTGTTTTAGTTATGCATTTATTTATCCTAATAAACTGCCTAGAAATGTTCTAGTTTATTTATTTTAATTCCTTCATTTATTTGTTTGGTTGGTGTGTCTGTTTGGTAACTTATTTATTTTTCTCTCTTGTAGTTTATTTAATTTCTTATGTGTATTTTACTAAAATTAGACATTAGATATTAACCAGTGGTTCCCAAAGTGGAGGGACTGGGTGTTTGAGAGGGCGCAATATTAATGTGGAGAAGCACAGTAAGAAAAATAAATTAAATTAAAATTAAAATTGTGACTTACTTACGCAGAAACTGTGAATGTGTCCTCACAGGCAGTCTCCAGAATAGTCCTTTCTAGGGTGCGAAAAAGAGGGGTATCCACCAGCATAAACCCAGACCTTACTGTCTGGGTTTATGCAATCAAAGAAGAGTCACTGTAAGCAAGATGAAAGCAAGTATTTATTCAAATAGGATAAAACAATGTCATCAATAACAATCATACAGGTCATTTCACGAGAGCACCATTTCATTGGAATCTTGCAAATTTATATCACAGTTTCTAAATGATTATCTGGTTTAACTGAGTATTTTTAGGTGCAGTTGGCATCGACATATACTGGATACATGTGAAAAAAACAGCACCTATTTGAGAACTTAGCCACGATTCGGCTCAAATTTACAGTGTGAGAACCACACACATTATACAGTACAGTTACAGAACATTTGTGCTTCAGATTTAGAACTAAAGTACGGAGTCACTATGTCCTTAAACTACATTGCAAATTTTAAAAAACATTCAATAATGCTTCAAACAAAAAGCAGATAAACAAAATTGTATTATTATGACCTTGACATGGACAGAAAACATTGTTTCAATTTTACATTGTGTTAATTCTAAGCCTAAAATCCTAACATATCTAAATAAAGTCTGTGGTTTCCTGTGACTTCAAAATGTCCTAACTTCCATGTGACCCCCGCCTAAATCACTGATATATGAGTAAAGGGCAACTGGCCACGAACTGTGATCTTCACAATTTTCCTGATTCATACCCAAACCCATCATGCCAACATATGTGGCTAGTGGGGCTAAAAGTACACATTTATTTTCAAATAAAAGTGTGTCTCACAGTACATAAATGATCTTACTTTGAATAAAAAGTACTGCATTTGGAAGGACCATGAAGAATAAATGCACAAATACCTCTGGGAGCTCAAATAACAAATCACACTGCATGGCTTGTTTCTGTGACATGATGAAACCCACTACTGTTTTGTGGTGATGAATACTAAAAGCTGGAGTCGATATACCATTACTCAAAATGAATGTCCCTTTCCAACAGACTTGTTATTATTAATATTAGATTTTGAGTCATGTCAGTGGGTAAAAAAAATGCTTTCCAAAATTAATCAATGAAGCGTGTGTTGTGAATAATGTCGGGAAGCTCTGTCTGCACAGCCCTTCACAATTGTTTTTCTACCTGAATGAACGCTTTAACCCCATGTAACTGAGCCTGTGGCTCAAATTCTGTTAGTGTTGAAAACATCCATCATATTTTGGCTTTAAAAAAGTAAAGACAATGAAATACTATGAGAACTTCATCCACATGTATGTGTGTGTGTGTACAACAATATACTATATATATATATATATATATATACTTACAGAATGCTATACTCCAGCTCCACTCCAACTGCACACTAGCAAATTAATATGCTGCTTGGTCAGAACTAAAGAAAGGAAAGAAGATCTGAACATTGTTGAAATCATTGTTTCCCAGAGACTGGGTCACGACAGGTGGGTCGCAAGAGACTTTTTTTTTGGGTCGTCTCGCATCATATCTCCCAGGAGATTACGAACAATGTCTATTGACTTGCATCACAACGGTTTGTGAGTTTTAAAATATGGGTCTCCAGAAAAAACAGAAATACTGGTTTAAATGAATGGTTGCCAAAATGAGAGGCAGGCCCAGTTATTGCAGGGGGGGACGGCGGGGGGGGTGCAGCTTGGCCAAAATATTTTCATTTAAATTCTTTTTTTATTTGTGCCACATTGGGAAAACACTGATTGTGTCACCCCTTGGTTTAGTGACCTCTGGGGTCACTTATCTATAATCTCTAGTAACTAACAGTTTACACACATTAAACAACCTTCATACAGATACTGCTGTACTACGACAACAGTAATGATGTGACGGTAAGACGTTGAAGGTGAAAAGTACAGTAGACTGTTAAATATCATATGGAGTGTACAGCAGACTGGTTGTATACTGGAATACTACTGCCGTATACTTCTCTCTCTTCTACTGCTCAGGTTTCATCAGGTTGCACTTTGCCCTAATTTTTATAGTGATATGGTGCAAATGGAAATGGTCAGCATGAGAATTTAAATGATTTGTTTATCTGATCTTTCCACGAGCATTAAAAAAAAAAGTATATGGAGCTAAAGCTAAACCAGGTTCAACGCAGGCATAAAAAGATGAGTTCTGCTCCACTGGGAGGCTTGACCTTAGCCCTCAAACATATACATCTGGTGATCATCTACTTTATAATTGGCTAAATATTGAAATGGTAAAAAGTGATTTTCAGATACATGATAATTATTGAGGAAATGCTACTCAATCATTTATATGAAACAAAATGTATACAAATTATACAGAGGCCATCTTCACGAGCATCCCTTTCATTACACAAGACAATTCCTCAACAAACGCAGAGGAGGTTCTTTATCCACTGTAATTCCATGCTGAGGGATTAAAAACGTTTTGCTCCGCTTCTTGCACTCAGGTCTGTTGGAGTGTGACTCTGACTGCCTCCTGAACGCTTCACCTGCACTGAGAGACTGTCTCTGAAGCTGGTAATGACTAAAGTTCTTGGGTTGCCAACTTTTGGCTGTTGTTTTTTTTTTTTTTTTTTTTTTCAAACCCGACGGAACACCTCAAAGAGAGAGGCAACTGAGTGCATGCGGTAGAAAAGGTTCAAAGGTATGGCGAAATTGAGAACTGTCGTCCATATGCTGAAGCCAAACGTCTCCTGCTCCAACCCATTGTCATACTGTGGCCGGCAGCCAAAGGCTGGAAGGATCCACAGCTGGAGAAACAGAAAAATGGGTTTTCAGTGATGGCGCATTGAAGGACAGAAACTCAAACATTACTGCTGTCGAGTACATGGTGTAAAGTGAGAGATCCAGCCTCAATGTAAATTAATTAAATGAACCAAGAAACAATTTGTTGTCTTTGTTTCTTTAGACAGGAAGTCAAACATTTAGACCCAGTCCATCATTTCTACGTGTGTGTGTTTAAAGCTCCTTATCATGTTATATCAAAATACAACAACTGCACATCTGCAGTTTTAGCACAAATCACTCTAGCCCAGTACACATGATGTAAGGCGCCGGTGTCAAACTCAATTATGCAAGGGGATGGACTCTAAAACACAGTCTTGTTGTGGGCTAAAATGGGGTCAGCATTTAGCATCGCCAAGATGTGTGTCACAAAATGTGAGTTTTTGGTAAACAAATGTATATATATACGCTTGATTGGAATATAATATAATATAATAATAATACTTACTGAAATGTTGCACATTATCAGGAAGACAGAGAGGTTCTTCAGGATTTGCCGTTTCACATTTGGTGAATCTACTTCTTTCTTTCCAACAGGCAGTGGCACCTCCGATGGCTTCCTCGGACATCCATACACCTGACCGTTCTCCTCCTGCTCACTCTCCATGGTGACGCATGCCTTGTCCGGAGTCTCGTACGCTCTGTTAATGATCCCGTTGTATGGGGGCGCTAAAGAGGAAGTGACAGAGAAGATTTCTGGAGAAGATGGTAATTCCAGTTCCTCCGACTGTTTGTCTCCCTGCTGTCGGTAAAGAGACTCGATGACAAAGAGGTTCTGCATGCACTTCTCCAGAACAATGAGCACGGAGTAAATTAAGTTGGTCCAGCGATACGGAGGACTGGCGTTGGTACTTAACACAGCAACTATGCTGCACCATGACATGAGCCAGGAGCCAACCGAGGAGCCGAACAGTAGCTCTGAGTCCAGCTGCCGTGAAGGGTTCTTAGATGTGTCTAACGGAATCTGGTCCATTCGATATATAAATAGACCTAAAGCAGTGGTGCAGCACATGCAGAGCAGCAGGACAATGCCGAAAATGTAGAACATAGAAACGGCCGACTGCCGAGTCTGAAGAGTCTCCACATGAGTGATGTACACTACCAAGATTCCAATAGTGCTGGCCAGAGCGAGCAGGCCTAGAATTGGACCAACTGAGAGGCCCTGAGTCTTGGTGGCGAGCCTCTTCTGGTTCGAGGAATGGTCAATGGTGCGCCCGATGTTTTTCCACATTACAAAGAGCATCGCAGAGACGAAGATGTGGTACTCAATGTTGAAGGGGAAGAGATAGTAGAGACTGCTGGTGAACATGGTGCAAACGCTGGTGGTGCAGTTGCACACAGGTTTATGGTGTTCTGCAAAAACAACAAAGACACAACTAAGTTTACAGTTGAAAATAAAAAAAAATTATAGTTGTTCCTCTACGTATATTTTACACTGTATGATCTTAGCACTAAAGAAAGCCTGTTATAAAAATCCTGAACACTTATATTAAATTGTTTTGAATTTCAATGGAAAATTACATCTTTTCATTGAAGGGTCGTTGCGCTGGATGTGCGGACGTCACTCTATGTCTATGTGTCAGTACCACGGGCAACAACACACACAAAAAAAAACTTGAGCTATCACTTGAACCGCTGATGACAATACACTTTTATACTTACTCACTGCTTGTGAAGCCCAGTCTAACATATGATATCGATGCTGTTGCCCTATAGAGATCATCTCAACAAAATCCCTCCGCTCCAAAAAGCCACTACTATGGTTCTGCACCCTTTAATTAAAACTAGAACAACGGTCAGGGTGCAGCCAGCCTCACAGTCAGCCGGATATGAGGAGGAGGTGCCGGACCCCCAACACAGGGCTTAGCTGTATCAGTTACTGTAATTGCAGCACCCTTGGGAATAAGCAGCCATGGGGACAAAGCCGTCTGAGGTCAAGTGGGGGGTTGCCAAGGGGGTGAAGTGTGGGGATATGGACTGGGAAATAGTGTGTGGGGGGGAGTTCAACACGAGAGCAACAGTGTCAACAGTGTCTCCTGAAACCTAATAGACAGACGTACGACACAAACAAGACCCACCGGGGCCTGCCTGGCCAACCTCCCATCCCTTCAAAGACCTTCCTGTCCTTCCTTTTGGTTTTATCCATTGAAGTGAGACCTCAAGTGGACTATTGTACTTCTCTTCCAGGTACAAGCCAACAATCGACCTCTTGGCCCATACCTTCGGTGAGGTTTCCATAGCCCATGGCAGAGAGTCTTCGAATGTGGTTGTTCAGGAAGTGCTCTGCCTCTGACATCACGCCATTGCACCAAAGGAGAAGATTTGTAAAGACTGCATGGATGACGCCAAATCTGAAAGAGCAAAGAGTTGACAATCCATTACCTACCTGTGAGGTACAGTGTTATAATATGATTAATATGGATATACATGGTTGCTGGAATATGTCTTGGTTAAGATATACTCCATGATAAAACTGTAGTACTAAGTGGTTATGATGGATGGTCAGCTGTTTTTTTTTTTTTGGCAGATTGCTGACATGTGCAAAACCAGCCAGAGAAAATGCTGAAATCATGGCAGAAAATGAACACAAATGTACAAGAAAAAAACAATCATTTGATCCATACTATATTCTAAAAAGGAGGTGGATCAAGTTAGCTCGTTTGAAGGAGATGGCTATTTCAAGTGATCAGTTAACTTATCCCAAAATAAGACTCCAGCATCACATTTTTTTCACAGACCTTTCAAATGTCTCGAAGCTTTTGACGACATCCTTGATGTGAAACCAAAGAAAATGGACCTAAAAAAAGAGAAAGAAACCGTTAACAGAATCATACTATTTAATTCAGACTACATCGTCCAAACCCTCTTTTGATTTGGATACACCTTGGTTTCTGTTTTGTTTTTTGTAAATCTAAAGTAAATAAAATCTCCTTAAAAACATAGAACACTTAAAGTGGCCCTAATGGATGCTCTGTATTAAAAAAATCACAGCTTTTGATTTGAATTCAAGTTGAAGAAAATTGTAGATTTTTAGATAATTGTAATTAAAAACAATATGCCCTTCATATAACAAAAAAGCTGCTTCACCAAAAGTAGAATTAAAATCAGAGCAGAAATCTACACATGATGTTTTATTTCTCTCAAACCTAAAATTATGAAATATAAAAAAGTCTGCGTACCACTAGAGGTCTGCGTACCTCTGTTTTGGACAGACTGCTCTAATCTGTGAAAACAATTTGCAAACATTGAACTTTTGAGGACGTCATAGGCCTTACAGCGGTTTGTACTTTTTTTGTCATATGCAGTTAGACTGTGATGGGATTATATTGTTGCAGCAGCTCTCTTACACTTTCCTTTGCAACAAAGAGCACATTATTCTAAGAGTAACCTGGCCAAGTGCTGTACCAAAGCAAAAAAGACGCAGTGTCTGAAGCTGCTGAAAGATTATCACTTGATTGAAAAGTAAGTGGGCTCCCGAACTTGCCTGTGCCATGGTGTGGGTGGCATGGATGACAGGATATACGCCCAGCACAGCCGACACACACGATTGATAGCCAACATAATAACCTATTCGGAAAGCGTCCATGATTAGTGACATCAGTGCCAGCAGCGTTAAACCACCTGCAAAAAATAAAAAAAAAATAACAAAGATGGTTATCAATAAACATATGAAGGTACATTAAAATGGTTGCCAAATCTACAAGGACATTTTGATATTTATATTAGTGTTGAACTTCTAAGAGGATTTCTACAGCAATGGAAGATGTTTATCTGGATAAACATATATTCACACTTACATAAAAAAGTTAAAGTATCCTCACTGGAAGTTTCTATATTTCCTTGATGCCTTGCTTTATGGAGGCAACATTTTGGCAGTAGCAGAAATGTCTTAAAGAACTGGCCGACATCTTTTAAGAAAACAAAAACTAGTTGCAAATATATAGAAATCAAAACAAAAACAATTCTGTTGTGTAGCAAAATATTGATCTGGAAATGAGATAAAAACCAAAAATAAGTAAAGTTTTTGTCATAAATAAACATATAACTATGGCTTAGAGATAATCAGATGCATATGATTACTACAGTGAGCTAGAATCAATGCCAAATGAGGGGTTTCCTCTTGGAATGGCAAGAGATATCCATCCATTCTTCATTCATGCACCTTTGACCCTAAAGTCTCCTGCTAATGAAAGCAATAACTGAAACTGAGGCTATTTTTTTTAGGGAATAAAAGTGAAGAAAAGCAATCATGATCCATTCTTCCATTATTGATATTGATATTTTTCTTTTGCATTTAATGACTTGTAGCCAATAAAATATCCATATAGTACTATTATAGTAATGGTGTGCAGCGCGCAAAGTTGCGCTGACCCACCGATACCTCACCTCTGATCCAGCCTGTGGTTGCGTGCACGTCCTTCTCGGTCTGCGCATTCTTTTGCCTGTTGCGTCCCAGGATGTACCACATCATCCAGGCCAGCTGCAGGATCATGAGGCATGTGATGAAGGATAGCAGGTGCTCTTCCTTCACGAACGGGTCGTGGTTGGCCACGGCCAGCATAAGCGCGGCGCCGATCAGCAGCAGGTTGGTGCCGTACTGACCGCTCAGGATCTGCGCGTTCTTCTGCGGATAGTCCGCATCCGAGGAGGCTGAAGAGGAAAGTTTGAGCTTGATTTTGGCGAACGTCTTCTTGTCGCGCTCGGAGCTGCTGGAAGATGAGGATGAGCTGTGGCAGTACTTGTTCAGGCACATGATGTCCAGACCGCTGTGTTCCACCATGTCGAAGAGTCGGATAGTACGCGTAAGGTAGAGAAAACGCAAGTGAGTCAACAAAAAAAGACGCGCGCTATAAGTGCTTTGAATGAGCGTAACCTGCTGTTGCTGCGAGGTGGGGATTCAGGCGTACAAGTGCTGTGCCAAACATGTTCATTCAATCTTTTGGGTTCGCCTCAGTGGTCACGGTGCGCATAGTTTCAGTGTCTGGACTCAATGCCTGTCACCTCTGTGAAACCTGGACACTGGAGGACGTGGCTGCGCTGAGTCACTGTAAGTGCCAAGGATTGCGTTTCAGGGTTTGCTTGATCCTCGTGGAGCCCTGCCTCCCGCTGGGCCAATTTAGGACGCACCAGAAACACCACCAGAGCGCACAACATCCAAATTAAAAACACGACTTGTCCACAAATCCACAGAAGTATCCACCGTCCACCGAATCCAAGGCTGGAGAATTCCAAAGCTGGAAGCTATCAAATGAAGAGGTTTGGACTACATTAAAAAGTTGGAGATGACACGTCCCAGCAAGTCCCTTTAAATCCGAGTGAGCAGAATCTCTAAATTCATCTGTGTTTGTCTAGAGGTGTAGACTGTTGAACCTCTGCCCTCTGATGGGTGGGAGGGGCGGGGGACGCGAGAGGGGGTGGAATCACATTTCAGCTGTTACATTTACAATGGCTTTTTGTGAGTGGATCTAATTAAGTTTAAGTATGATGTAGGTCAAGGATGAACGCAAAATATTAGCATAACAATTGAAGTCTGGTGACGTCCATTGACACCTGGATGATAAGGTCATTTTTAATCACGACCTTGGCTAATATGGCTGATTTCCATGTGGGTCTATGTTGACAAACTGAAACTTTGTCTCTCATTTTGAAAAAAAAGTGCATTAATCTGATAGGTAGAATTTACCCATCTTCTAATCTAACAGGGAATAGAAATCCGACAGCGCTCCAGCTGTCATACCGAACTGTGACTGATGTTCGTCAACTACGCGTTAATCACTGGTTCAGCGAACACCATATCAATCAGCCCCATCAACCCTCACGGGGTTTAATTTTAGTGATATATTTTTTTCTAGATAGTCACTGACGTTTTTCCGATAGGACAAATGCTGCTAATAAGACAGCAAGGTAGGTAGGTATTTAATTTTTCTTGTCTCCACTAAAAATCTGAATTTACCAAAACGATATCGGTCTAAGCGTTTATCACGCAAGAAGAACGTAGGATTCTTCTTGTCTCCTGCGCCAACCTCCGCGGGCACTACTTGTAATTACAAGTAGTTAAAACTTATTTTACTTGGAAAGTGGGGCGAGCATGTCCACAAACCCCCGCTATGTTTTGTCAATGATAGCGTTCGGAGACGTTATCTATTTCTCTGTCCTTAATTTCACAACATCACGAGAGTGATCGAGTTAAACGCTCCTGTACCAGTCCGCCTCAACACCACTCTGTCGACAAGTATCGATTACTTAATCAAGGAGAACCAAGTAGATAAATAAACGTCTATGACACAAAGCATAGAAATGTTAATCGGGGAAGTGTAATGGGCCACTGAACATTTTTTTTTTGATTGGATTTGGATGCCGCCAGTCCCCTTCCTGTTGTCACAACAGAGTAAACAAACGCCCCCATTCTCCAACTGATTGCAGATGAATGACAAATCTTTAACACGGTAGCATTTTCTATAGAAACGTACTTACTAGAATACACAACTCTAAACCAGAATATCAACTCTAACTTTTAATGTTGTGGGTTTTAATTAGTTCTAATGAGAAGTAGTAACAGCAAGTTGTGACCTGGACACACCCTAAATATCTACAAAGAAGGAAACTTCTGATGGAAACACTGCTTGCAAGGGAGTTTAGACTTAAATGGAGGATAATAAGTCAATTATTTTTTCTAATTTTTTGTATATTTTTTTCTAAATTTCTAAATTCGTAATTAATTATACATTTCTTTTTCTATGAGACTCAATCACATCTTACCATTGACTGTTTCTCTTATGGGCTAGATCTTCCAACCAAAGGTGCTCAGACCATTTATAAAAAGGAGAAAATAGTATTAAAGAAAACTCTGCTATAGATCCATCCATGCCATGCAACCCCACTTCTCTACACATTAACACCTTGACACTTCTCAAACATGTTAAGCATCTTTAAATGGCTTCTGTATACCTTTTCTCATTTACTGTTAAATATATATAGTTTAATAAATTAACAAGTGAGACATTAATGTGAGACACTATCTGGGGTTTAAAGTCTTGAAAATCTGCTCACAGTAGGTGAGCAAAGTTGGTTTGATTAAACTTTTTGACTTTTAGGGGCCATACAGCAGTTTTCTGTTTGTTAATGGAGAATAAACTCATTAATGTAATATAAAGTTACAGAGACTTTATTTAGAAACCAATTCAATTTACAAACAAGCACACCTACACAATACTCAACAAAATACCAAATAACAATAATGTTTTACAGTATATTGAATTAGAAACAGTCAAAACCTAGACTCCTCCAAATCACATACTCTATATGTTCACAGGAACAGGACTTCCTGTTGTGCTGTCTGTCTTTCTTCCTAAAGAGTGTTTGAGGTCTGTTTTTTTAGTCTGGAGTTGATACAAGGTTCATTAAATTGATTTAAAAACATCTAAAAAAAAAAAGAAATTGTGAAAACACTATGTTTGACACTGCCATTGCACTGGACCTGCAACAACAACAACAAAAAATAATATAGTATTTTACATCTCATGTGAATTTAGATTACACTGATCAAATGCAGGTGATTAAAGAAGGCCTTACAGTCTCACTTGAGTTTTCTTTTTCAATTAAAACAATGTATTAGTCTCATTTCACAGAGACTAGCACCTAGAAACCAAACTAAAAAGCAAAGATGCGATCCTGGCATATTTACAAAGCATCAAACAGGATGCATGCAAAACTTGAGAAGGTTAATGTGTCAATGTAATTATTACACCGGCTATATGTGAGGACTTGTTTAATGTTTTATCCTTACCCATCGTGATCATCCAAGCAAAGAGATGAGCATTACGATACCCATGAACTGTGTGAAAAGGATAACAGGAGTGAAGAACGCCCACACTGGCCACAGAGCCATGTTAAAGCTGCAAAAGAAGAACAAACCTTGCATGATTTCAGGTATTTAAAAGTTCCTGTTAGTGATATCACGATTACAGATTTCCTTAGTACTAATATTACAATTATCTGATTATTGTACGTGCATTGATTTCACAACACTATCAACGCGTAAAATCCCATGAACACTCATGTATAGTGCCTTTTCTTTTTCTTCTGTTTACCTGCATGATGCAGCAATAAACGCTGCAGTGGCAATGGGAGGAATGGCAGGATATTCATGATCATAGTGCTGGATTCCCTTGAACCAGTCCAGGTACACGATGCAAAACATGGCCAGAGAGATACAGACCCCAAAGAGGACCAGACCCACGTTGAACCACCAACTGGGAAAAAAGTGGATAAGCTGTTTATAGTTTAGTCAAATAAAATATTGACATTTTAACAATTTGCTTCTTTTGACAATGTTGCTCAACTCCAAAACCACCTCTAACTGGTAATTGGACAAATTAGAAGAAAAAATCATTATTGTTATGTTATTATTGGAATACAAGTCATCTTATTGGGCTGATTAGTCTCATCATATCAGGTGCCATCAGACAAAATACTTTTTACAAGATGGTAGGCAGGAGATCTACTACAGTTGTTATCATCTATACATACATTTTCATCCGCTTATCCTTTACCGGGTCGCGGTAGCAGCAGTCTCTATGACCACCACCCAAATCACACTGCACCGTACCAACGCCCCTGAACCTTGCTGCGGGTGATGACTCCACTGGAAGGTACCAACCGCCCTAACTGGGATTCGATCTTGCCCAGGAAGTGAACCCTGGGGTTCTACACCAATGACAGAGACATTGCCTCTGGGCCAAAGCGCCACCAGTTGTTATCAGTAAATTCAAATCTTTGTTTTTGTGATAATTGCTTGAATACTTTGTAACAGAGTAGTTATGACAGACTTTTTTTTCAAAATGATGTATAATGAGAAATTGAGAAGAGGATATACTGTACTTGCTACTAAATCAACGGAAGAACAAAATACAATCAGGTAAAACATTTGGGTACACTTTAAAAAAAAAATCACTTTATATCATATACTCAACCTTTTTGTAACCATCAGCATTAACAAATTAACACAGAGCTAAAAGGATGAGGCAGTCCACACTGATTTTGACATGTATGGTTCCCACAATTCTATCTCTCACCTTTTAATGTCATTGTTCTCCAAGATGGTGTGGAAGAAATCGACGTAATAGGTCACACCAACAGATGCCACTATCCAGAATATGGAGTGCCTGTTGATACGAGGGAGCGGTTTGGCATCTTTGTCTTCCTGGCCTGAAAGATGATACACAACAAAATAATTAATAATCAATAAAGTACAGTCACTTTGAATGGTCACCCCTTTACCACCATCAGTTCTGTCTTTTCCTTATCTGTCATTCTTCTGCTGTCATCAACTGTTCATAGCGGAGACAGACAACTGCACACTCTGCGTCAATATATGCTGGGATTTTCCCGGGCTGTCCATGACAAGTACTGGGGATGGCTTGATACAATCTTTTTGTGTCCGATACCAATACCAATATTGCAACATGGAGTATCTGCTGATACCAATAATGATCCAATACCTTCTTTTCTCTGCCAGCATGCTACAAGCTGCTATTGCTGAGGTGATAGTTTCCCTGTTTACGGCATGTCATGCAAAGATAAGTTGGGCATTTGGGCTACGGTATTGGATCAGACAGATGATATTTGTTTTATATCTTATTGGTGGACACATGCATTTTGATTAAACTGAGTGACTAGCAGTGCTGTAATTTATAAAGCCCCCCACCCCACCCGGGTGCACAAAAGTGCGGCCTAACTTTTGGTTTACTTCTTAAGATCCTGTTGTCGGCTGCGTCAGCACACTATACACATTGGAGTTCACAGCGAACTCAGTGCCTTCTTGCCCTTGACAAATACTTGTCAAGCATTCTAAACCACAGTTGTGTCTCAAGGTCTGTCACTTTATACAAGGTAGTCTATTTAGTCCAACAGGAGGATCAAAGGCAGGATGAAATCTTGGAGAAAGGGGATGAACAGTAGACAAATGTTTGGTCTGTTGCTTGTGTTACAGTGATCGACTTACACTGACCGAGACATAGCCCTGCTTGGAATGGTGACAGGATCACAGTTTCATTTACCAATACCGTATCGCTGCGCTGACACAGAGTTTGCTCACAGTCCAAACAATTAAGAATTGCTGGATATCTTCCAGCAGAAGACACAAAGATGAACTACTCTGGGTACGGAGCACGCTGCTAACAACTCCCTGCTCTGACCACCAGCAAAGACCACAAACACTGCTTTTCCATGCATTGTGGAGTGGCTCTGGAGTGGCCAACAGTCCAGGTTGTGTCATGCCACCGCCCAATGACTCCAACAGCTGTAAAAGGATTAAGTCGGATATCAAAACTCTCAACCTCCCATCCTAAAATCCCAAATGCAAATTAGTAATTTAACCAAACACTGTTGGGACATGTTGACCCACTGCTGTGTTCAGGGATCACGTGTCAATGAATCAACATTAGTGTTTAGTTTTTAAAACCATGATTTTGTCATTGAACTTTGATGTGGTTGAGTCAGTAATTTAAGGAAAACGTCACATCATTACAGACTTCAGAGAAATAAAGCAGTATTTTTAAATTCCAGCGATGATGGAGTCACTGAATCATTCTATTTTATAATCTGTGCCCGTAGGCAGTAGTACAGGCAGCATTGCACCAGCAAACCACCGTGCACCGTTGCTGGTTCTTGCAGCAACCAGGCCTGGCACAGTTGAGAAAAAACTGTGCCAGGCAGTACCAGCCCAGCACCATATGAGGGCGCCCTGCTAAAAATGATTTATGTTAAAGTG